GACATGTGACCCTGCGCCCAGGCCCCGCCCCTGATGTGAGGACATTTGAGGTGCAGCTCATAGTAGAGAGATATTCACCTTCCAATCACAGGACCGGAGCAGAGGAGGACTGGAAGTGATAACGTTGTTAGCGCAGCAGCTAGATAAGCCAGCGAACTCTGACATGATAATATTCCACGTATGTTCCCCGCGTGTGCCCTGGACTACGACCCGGAAACACGGGAACTTCATATGGTAAAGTTTATGGATTTTTTTTCCTGAATAAAGTGACACTTTCAGGAGCTTTGCAAGTCTGCGCAATATACGTTTTAACATTTCGCAAAGTAACAGTGTAAACTTTCTGACAAGCTCCGCCTTTTATCGTTAAAAAGACGTCCTTGAACTCCAGTCCAGTGACTTTGCCTAGGCTGAGATGATCTCATCAGTTTGCTGCAGGCATTTCCTCAGTCTCCCTTTTCCCCCCCCAGTGATCAGTCTGCTGCAGCCAGGAGGAAACATTTCCTCAGTCTCCCCTCCCCCAGTGATCAGCCTGCTGCAGCCAGGAGGAAGCATTTCCTCAGTTTTACCTCCCCCCATGATCAGTGTTCTGCAGGCAGGAGGAAGCATTTCCTCAGTCTCCCCTCCCCCAGTGATCAGTCTTCTGCAGGCAGGAGGAAGCATTTGCTCAGTCTCCCCTCCCCCAGTGATCAGTCTGCTGCACGCAGGAGGAAGCACTTCCTCAGTCTCCTCTCTTCCAGTGATCAGTCTGTTGCAGGCAGGAGGAAGCATATCCTCAGTCTCCCCTCCCCCAGTGATCAGACTGCAACATTGTAACTTTGTAGCAAGTCACAAGACCGCAGGGGGCTGATCTGTGTCAGACATTTGTTAACAGAACCAAGAACTGTACAGGCACCGGGATTTACATGTCTGTATCATCTCTGAGCTGGCACCTCAGTCCAGGAACTAGAAATCCATGCGCGGGGTATGTCCTACCAGCCCCGGGTTTTGCTATTCACTCTGCCATATCTTCATTACACATCTGACCCAAGGATCTCCAGGAATCTGAACTTCCCTCAATGCTGACCCTTAGATTCTGCAGGCCCCGCGTGGGTCCCAACTCTGCCCACCTGGGACTCTGAAGTCTCTAGGTCCCCTCAGTTGCAGCAGACTGATCACCTGATCTGGCTGGACACAGGGGAACATTTATAGGTCCCTCTGGGTTTTTCTTGCCCGAACCCATTTGGAGAAACAATTGATCGGTCAGCTTGTTTTATCTCAGCCAATCGCCTGCTCTTGGGCTGCTGACACATCCCCCCCCCCCCAAAACCTTCCCATTCATAGACACAGTCACGCTTGTCCAATGTATGAGCAATGTATTCTGTATGGTGGGGATAGGCAACCTCAGCACTCCAGCTGCTGTGGAACTACAAGTCCCATAAGGCATTGCAAGACTTGTGACAGGCACAGGCGTGACTCCCATAGGCAGAGGCATGATGGGATTGGTAGTTTCCCCAATGCTGGAGTGCCAAGGTTACATATCCCTGCTGTACGGTAGTCCAGACTCCTGTTTCATCATGACAATGCAGATGGTGGTAGGAGGACTGTAATGACCCCGTGCTGACTCCCACGCTCTGTCATAATGATCCGTCTCCGCTCAGCCCTGGCATCATTATAAGAATGTTCTGCAGAGTTCCGTCCTCCGGGGTTATTAATGTCATTTCTTGGTCAGAGCTCAGTCCATCACGCTCACTTTGCAGAGCAGACTCCTGTCACTGGCCAGCTCTGGCACTTGTCTCTGTGCTGGACACAAGTCAGATACCATTCCTGGCTCAGTCAGTGGCAGGGACAGTTCAAGCCTCTTATACTGTATATATGTCGCCTGCCAAGTAGTGCGCGCTGCCCATTCATCATCTCCTGAATCACAGGGTGACTCCAGGAGGGGAGAGCGGTCAATCGGGACACCGAAAATTCTCCCCCAGAATATTCATACAAAGCTCTCAGATTGACGGTACAGACAAGTCCAGCAGGTTTTTCACAGTCTCCTGTATAACCTTTCCCTCTGAGGGCTACAAGGAGGCGGGGCTGAAACCTGGGAACACATTCACCCAGTATTTTTAGATTCTCGGGTGGGCTGTGCGGGGTCTCAGGTGGGCTGTGCAGGGTCTCAGGTGGGCTCTCCAGGGTGTCAGGTGGGCTGTGCGAGTTTTCTGGTATGTGCAGGGTCTCAGGTGGGCTCTGCAGGATCTCAAGTGGACTGTGTGGGGTCTCAGGTGGGGTCTCAGATGGGCTGTGTGGGGTCTCAGGGGGATGTGCAGGGTCTCAGGTGGGCTCTGCAGGGTGTCAGGTGGGCTGTGCAGGGTCTCAGGTGGGCTTTGCAGGGTCTCAGGGGGCTGTGCAGGGTCTCGGGTGGGCTCTGCGGGGTCTCAGGTAGGCTCTGCAGGGTGTCAGGTGGGCTGTGCGAGTTCTCTGGTATGTGCAGGGTCTCAGGTGGGCTCTGCAGGGTGTCAGGTGGGCTGTGCAGGGTCTCAGGTGGGCTTTGCAGGGTCTCAGGGGGCTGTGCAGGGTCTCGGGTGGGCTCTGCGGGGTCTCAGGTAGGCTCTGCAGGGTGTCAGGTGGGCTGTGCGAGTTCTCTGGTATGTGCAGGGTCTCAGGTGGGCTCTGCAGGGTGTCAGGGGGGCTGTGTGGGGTCTCTGATATGTGCAGGGTCTCAAGTGGACTGTGTGGGGTCTCAGGTGGCCTCTGTGGGGTCTCAAATGAGCTCTGCAGGATCTCGAGTGGACTGTGCGGGGTCTCAGGTGGGCTCATCACCACTGATGATGCAACTAGTGCACATGCATGCCAGACCTACATCGCCCCCAGCTGCATTCTCAGCATCGTACAGATATTGGGAGTGAGATGGGGGTGTATACTGCAATCAGCGTGCAGTTCCCAGTGGGGGTCTATGTAACGGAGGTGAAGCAAGGGAGAGGTTATTGCTGTCCTGTCCCAGGGTGACAACACTCCTCCCCCATAGATACAGTGCAGTGAGTGAGCGTGAACTTCTCATATTTGCTCCCCTTTGGCCTCCGACATACCACTTATGTGTTTTGTTATATCTGTTCGATAAGCACAAAATACCTTTTGATCCCGCCAGATATCATGTGACCTGATAACTTCCTGTCCTCTCTGCCTGTGCTGACTCTTATCAGTGACATTGTTTCCAGCTATCTCTGAGGATCACAGAACCTCTCGCCTCTATGTTATAGAGAAGAACAGAGAGGGAGTCCCGTCATTGCCATCCCGCTGACAACACCGTTCCTCCATAGATACAGTAGGGTGAGGAGTGAGTAGGGTAGCGTTGTCACCCTGGGACAGGAAGTGCGTTACTGGCAGGATCGCCAGGTGAAAAGAAAAGCCTGAAAAAAGAAAACGAATGGATTGGTCAGCTGAATTATATGACGTGTGCCCACACCCTGCACCTGCATCTCATCCATATTATCTGTCAGGGGCGTCCCGAGGCTGGGTGTCACCCGGGGGTGGAGACCGGGTGACACCTCGCAATGACATCATCGCACATGCGCGTGACATTGCCGTGCACGATGATGTCTTTGCGCATGCGCTGTGGTCTTTTTGACATCTGCCGGAAGCCATCTTGGTGATGGACACCGACAGAGAGAGGAGGGGAGACATTCACCCGGCGGGATGAGGTATGCCGCCGGGTCCCCTCCTCTCATCTGACACTATCGGGCTCTCGGTCCATGACTTTTCAGAGGGGGTGATACCAAAAGGACTGTCAGTCATTTTGGTATCACCCCTCCAATGGCGGCACCCGGGTGTGAGCTGCACCCCCCTTGTGAAGCCACTGTTACCTGCTACATTATTATTCTATGGCAGGATTTATTGAGCGCCAACATTTTGCGCTCTTTAGAATATAAACATTCAATCCCATTTATACCCTGCGATCCCGATCCTACGGAAACGCTGCACAAACCAACGTCACAGACAAGGCACAAAGTTCCGTGTACACTGATCCTTGTGCATCATCCAATTAGACTGGCACGGGGCCTATGAACTGATGACTGCTCGGTGCCCACGCTACAATCCATCCACCGCCGGCTGAACCGCGGCCGGCTACAAATCACCATACAAATCTACAAATGAGATTTATGGCTGCTGCACAATTTCCTGACGGTAATGGCTACAAAATGTCATTTTATTCTATTTCCTCTAATATATATATATATATATTCATCCATTTTATTATTTTTGTCCTCTACTACATATCTGGGGACCTGCGGCACACTGGCATCTTATGGGGGGCATGCTTTATGTACAGAATGTATATCTGGGGACCTGTGGCACACTGGCATCTTATGGGGGGCATGGTTTATGTACAGAATGTATATCTGGGGACCTGCGGCACACTGGCATCTTATGGGGGGCATGGTTTATGTATAGAATGCATATCTGGGGACCTGTGGCACACTGGAATCTTATGGGGGGCATGGTTTATGTATAGAATGTATATCTGGGGACCTGCGGCACACTGGCATCTTATGGGGGGCATGGTTTATGTACAGAATGTATATCTGGGGACCTGTGGCACACTGGCATCTTATGAGGGGCATGGTTTATGTACAGAATGCATATCTGGGGACCTGTGGCACACTGGCATCTTATGAGGGGCATGGTTTATGTACAGAATGCATATCTGGGGACCTGTGGCACACTGGCAAGTTGTATAACTCCATATGATTTGTGATACATTGTGATTACCTCAAAAGTTATTTAATCACAAAATACATGCGCAGTGTATACTTTAAAAAAACAATTGTCGGCGACATTGTTACATTCCTGGCACAGGATCTTGCAACTATATTACCAGATAACCTCCAAGTTACAGGTATGCCTCTCCCCTCTGCTTGCTGTGCGGTTTCATCACATTTCATAGTTCAGTTCACTCCTAGGGGAGGAGTCGCAGCTGATAAATAGCCCAGGAAGGGGCCCCGACAGTGTTTGTGAGCTCAAGGAGGAGAAGCTAACACCATGCTGCCGGCTCTTCTTGCTGGAGTCCTGGCCCTGCTCGCATACCTCTACATCTCATTATGGAGGCAGAGACGTAACCTGCCCCCAGGGCCCACACCGTGGCCCATCATTGGAAATCTGCACCAGATCAACAAGGTGGCTCCTTACGACACCTTCACAGAGGTGAGTTGGGGCCACAGTGGAAGTATGCAAACTTTGACTCTTGACTACCGGCTATAGTAGGGCGGATATATGAATTTGGGTGGGGTCATGGCTGACTGGGAGTCAGGTAGGCACAACGATGTCCCCACCTGACTGCCGGCAAGTGTGGTCCCCACCTGACTGCCGCCCAGTGATGTCCCTACCTGACTGCCGGCAAGTGTGGTCCCCACCTGACTGCCGGCCAGAGATGTCCCCACCTGACTGCCGGCCAGTGATGTCCCCACCTGACTGCCGGCCAGTGATGTCCCCACCTGACTGCCGGCCAGCGATGTCCCCACCTGACTGCCGGCCAGCGATGTCCCCACCTGACTGCCGGCCAGCGATGTCTCCACCTGACTGCCGGCCAGCAATTTGAATGATAACGCCACACAGTCATGTGACAAGAGGCTGCAGTCCCACCCTGGGGGCATAAAGAAAAGCCTGCTGAATTTAGCAGCAATATAAAACTCAGATTAAAGTAGGAGGACGCTGTTATTGTAGCTCGCTTTCAGTGTTTCTTCCAGAGGATTAACAATCGGCTTGTAGCTCGGGGCTGCTATTTGAACTTGCAATGAAAAAAAAAAAGGGCATTCTTGTAAAAGCTGGAACAAGCCGCCGCCCCTGTGCTTTTATGAATCAGTTATCAGGCCAACAAACACCTGGTAATAGTTCTTTGCTTTTCCATTCTCTGTGCCAGCTGGGAGAGAAGTACGGAAGCGTCTACACCGTCTACTTTGGGTGGAACCCGACGGTGGTCCTGTATGGCTACGACACGCTCAAAGAGGCCCTGCTGGGCCAGGCCGAGGATTTCAGCGGAAGAGCCGTCCTTCCTGTGTTTGCCCGGGTGGCCAGAAGAAAAGGTGAGACGCAAACATTGGGTGGCAGCTGCCATTTATTCTGGAATCAAAAGCGTATTTCTTTCAGTGTGAAGCTTGGAGATTCCTATAATAAAGACCGGTCACTGCTGCTCTCTCTACTTGTGCAGGGTGACTGGTCTTGTCTCCGCCCCCTGCTGTAATAAAGACCGGTCACTGCTGCTCTCTCTCCTTGTGCAGGGTGACTGGTCTTGTCTCCACCCCCCTCCTGTAATAAAGACCGGTCACTGCTGCTCTCTCTTCTTGTGCATGGTGACTGGTCTTGAATTCAATGCACCGTCACGCCCCCTCCCGCCCCAGAACGCGGTGAGAAGTTTCTTAGCGATCGCGGTGCATTCCAGCAGCTACCGCCCTGAATCGCACACGTTTTCGGTGTGAACAAGCCCTTAGTATTGGGAGGTGCTATAGTGTAGAACATTCATTATTAGATGCAGCTAAAATGTTCAAATTGGTGTTTTGTTGACACCAAACCTCATACCACTGTGCTACCAGCAACAAGAACAAACATGTCTACCTTTGTACCATATCGGTAACCTAAATTTTGCTCCATTGTTTTCCCCTTAACTTGCTGCTACCGGTGGAGAATTTGTAGTCAATGCTGTAGGGGCATCTCTAATGTACCACAACATGACAGCACCTTTATAGCTATTTTATGGGCCTTCCTGGAGCCATGACTTCACAGGTCGAGCTACGGGGAAGCACGTCATGACTATAAGCAGGAGGATAAAGCTGCTGAACCATCTTGGATCGGCTACATGGAGCATGTTAGGACACATCCTCGAGCTGTAATTGTCCTCCCCTGTTCTCTCAGTGAAGTAAAGTCTCTGTTTTGTTTCAGGACTGGTCTTCTCTAACGGACCTCACTGGTATCAGCAAAGAAAGTTCTCCCTGACCACCCTGAGGAACTTTGGGATGGGAAAGAGGAGTATTGAGGAACGTGTGACCGAAGAAGCCAAGTTTCTGGTGGAGTACTTCAGGTTAAGGAATGGTAATGCACTTTTTGGTTCACATCCTTGTGTGTGATGGCCTTCCCTGAGTACTGTACGCATTTATGACATACCACCTTTGTCCTCCTTTTACCGTCTCCATACAAAGTGGCACCTGACCTTCTTTACTGTAAAATACCTGACCCACCTGACTCTAAGGACAGAGGACCAACTTGACACTAAGGACACCAATTAGAGTCCCTATTAGACTCTCGGTACACTTGACCCACTTGATTTGCTTGACTCACATAAGGAGAGTTGACACCTGACTAATGTGGGGGGAAATGCAAAAAGGTCCTAGAAGGTATGTCCTAAAATGCACACTGTACACAAGGGGCTAACTGATAGAAAAAAAAGGTAAGGGAATAATGATGGTGTAGTCCATGGCAGCTGGTCAGAAGTTAGTCTTTATTTTCCAACCTGTGCTAGAAATCCACATGTTAGTTGAAGGAGTAGTGTCCCATCAGTGGTGTCAGTGGAAGGAATAGTGTCCCATCAGTGGTGTCAGTGGAAGGAATAGTGTCCCCATCATTGGTGTCAGTGGAAGGAAAAGTGCCCCATAATTGGTGTTAGTAGAAGGACTAGTGCCACATTGTTGGTGTCAGGAGAAAGAGTAGTGCCCCATCGTTGGTGTCAGTGGGACGAATAGTGCCCCATCGTTGGTGTCAGTGGAAGGAATGGTGCCCCATCATTGGTGTTAGTGGGAAGAATAGTGCCCCATCGTTGGTGTCATTGGGAGGAAGAGTGCCCCGTGGGCTGTGCGAGTTCTCTGGTAAGTCCCCCATCATTGGTGTCAGTGGGAAGAATAGTGCCCCATCATTGGTGTCAGTGGAAGGAATAGTGCCCCAACGTTGGTGTCAATAGGAGAAATAGTGCCCCATCGTTGGTGTCAGTGGGAACTGGGAAGAATAGTGCCTCATCATTGGTGTCAGTGGGAAGAATAGTGCCCCATCATTGGTGTCAGTGGGAACTGGGAAGAATAGTGCCTCATCATCGGTGTCAGTGGAAGGAATGGAGCCCCGTAGTTTGTGTCAGTGGAAGGAATATTGCCCAGTCATTGGTGTCAATAGGAGGAATAGTGCCCCATCGTTGGTGTCAATGGGAAGAATAGTGATCCATCGTTGGTGTCAGTGGGAGGAATGTGCCCCATCATTGGTGTCAGTGGGAACTGGGAAGAATAGTGCCTCATCATCGGTGTCAGTGGAAGGAATGGAGCCCCGTAGTTTGTATCAGTGGAAGGAATGGTGCCCCATCGTCGGTGTCAGTGGAAGGAATAGTGCCCCATCATTGGTGTCAATAGGAGGAATAGTGCCCCATCGTTGGTGTCAGTGGGAGGAATAGTGATCCATCGTTGGTGTCAGTGGGAGGAATAGTGCCCCATCGTTGGTGTCAGTGGGAAGAATAGTGATCCATCGTTGGTGTAGGTGGGAGGAATAGTGCCCCATCGTTGGTGTCAGTGGGAGGAATAGTGCCCCATCGTTGGTGTCAGTGGGAGGAATAGTGCCCCATCTTTGGTGCCAGTGGGAAGAATAGTGCCCCATCATTGGTGTCAGTGGAAGGAATGGTGTCCCATCGTTAGTGTCAGTGGGAAGAAATACACCCCTATCATTGGTGTCAGTGGAAGGAACAGTGCCCTGTCGTTGGTTTCAATGGAAGAAGTATTGCCCCATGATAATGTCAGTGGAAGGAATAGTGTCATGCCCTTGGTATTATGGAAAGGGATATCACCCTATTACTGGTGTCAATGGAATAAGTAGTGCCCCATCATTGGCGTCAGTGGGATGAATAGTGTCTCAAGGGTCAGTTAAAGACAAGTTTGGGGTTTCAGCCTTATATTCATAGACCATTTCACTATCTGACCTTCCATGTTCTTTTCAAGGAAAACCTTTCAACCCGGGCCCTGAGCTCACTGCCGCCGTGTCCAATGTCATCTGCTCCATCGTGTTCGGAGATCGCTTTGATACAAAGGACGTGACTTTCCAAACCTTGCACAATATGATCCTCGAAAATCTGAGCTTCTTGGGCAAACGGGGCTTCCAGGTGAGCTGGGGTAGTAAACCCGAACTGGATGACATTTACTTTGCTCTGTGCTCTGTGCATCATAAACAATTGCCTTTTATTTAAAGGAAAAACTTGCTTATTCAGGCAGTCCCCGAGTTACATACATCCGACTTACATACGACTCCTACTTACAAACGGAGGCTATTACTGTATAGCAGGGGTAGTTATAATGCTACCGCGCTCGTGCAGACGAGGAGTGCCCGCCTTTTTGGGTCTGCATTGTACGTAGATTATATGAAGTTGGCTCTTGTTGGACGAGCAGACGAGGGGTGCCCGCCTCTTCTTCCGGGTCACTGTGAGGTTTTTACTGCTGTCTGTATACTCATTAGAAGGATTTAATCTCACTTCCTGTCTTTGAGACAACAGGAAGTGAGAGGAAATCTACCCCTGAAGGGAAATTCACTCCTCCAAGAGTTATCATGGGGAAACAGGTGTCTCCACTGAAGCTTTATCAACAATCCTTGTTTCCACGACAACCGAAAATGTTCAGAATACAATTGTCACAGGGACCGAAAGTGTGGTGAAATCTTGTGAACAGGGGCACACACACAGCAAAACAAACATTACAGGGGGTAAACCCTTTCCCATATTATCCAAAACTAAAAAAAAAAATTTTTGGCTGGAGTTGCACTTAAAAAATGTACCTGTTCCAACTTACATACAAATTCAACTTAAAGGAGAACTATGGGGTTAAGGCTTTTCCCCATAGTTCTCCTTAGGGTAACGGGAAGACACAAACTAGCGTCCTCCCGTCACCCTAGGCTCAGTATATAGGGAGCTGTAGCTCACGGTATACTGAGACGCCGCAGCTGAAGCGGATCCCGACAATTATGTCTGGATCCGCCCAGCTGCGTGACTGACAGCTGGCTCTGCCTATCTAGAGGCAGAGCCAGCTGTACCCGCCCCCTCCCCCGTCCGTTCCACCAGTCAGTGCTGGCGGATCGGAGCGGCGAGGGGAGAATCCAGTGAGCTCCGAGCCGGCCGTTTTTCTACTACGGCCGGCCCGGAGGCAGTTAAGAACAAACCTACAGACCCTATCTTGTTTGTGACCCGGGGACTGCCTGTACCTGTTTTTCTTCCTTTGTTGATCGGTGCTGCTGATCTCCTGCTCCTCCTGTTATTCAGCCCTACATCTACTTTTACAGTATAATGAAATGGAAACTGTGCTCGGTGTTCATATTGATTTGTTACAATGACGCTGAAAGTTTCAATGATGGACTGTATTTCTCTTTCCCAGCTGTACAACGCTTTCCCGGAAATCCTCAAGTGGCTTCCCGGTGAACACAACAAGATCTTCCTGAATGGCACCATGCTGCAGAAATTCCTGACCGACCTGATCGAAAAGCACGTCGAAACCCGCGACCCCAACTGCCCGCGAGACTTTGTCGACAGTTTCCTAAATAAGATAGATGAGGTAATACACAACAGCATTGCATGAGTCAAAATGGGCAGCCTGCAGACCCCATTTTATAGGCTTCAACTTTTCAACACCCACCTAATAAGGCAATTTAATATTTGCATAACTCTTCCCAAGAGCCAGCCAGGGCCGGCCTTAGGGGTGTGCGAGCCGTGCGGCCGCACATCCCCCCCCTCCCACCAGCCATGATCTGCCTGCATTACATAGACATTTATATGTATGTCATCTGTCATTTAGAGGTTTGCCTGAAGTTCAGCTTTTGGTTAGGCTTCCACTGTATTCAAACCATTCTCTCTCTCTGTATCGCTTTTTGTCTATATTGTTCACATCAGACAAATACAATTGTAAACGGAGAATTATGGGGTTAAGTCTTCTTTAAATATGGCCAGTTGGTTCTCATCTAATTCTGTTCTTTGTCCCCCCAGGAAAAGGGTGACCCGGGGTCCCATTTTACCATAGAGAGCCTGACAATGACCACCTTCAACCTTTTCATTGCCGGGACTGGCACCACGTCCTCCACCCTCCGATGGCTGCTGAAGTTTATGATGGAGTATCCCGAAATTCAGAGTAAGGACTGTATTCTCAGGGCTGTTACAGACCCTGATCATCCTTGGAAAGGGGACTTTAAAATATGTTTGTGTAGAGTAGCCAATGATGACACATATATTCACATCGCTACCTCATTCTTTAAGGTTCTCACCACTGATACTTATGGTTAGTGGTATCCTCGTCTTTTAATTGTAACCTTTGCATATGCAGCCCAAGTGTGTTTCCGGCTTCCAGCTCCAACCTCTCCAACCCTGCTGCAACATCACCAATAGGCAGCGGTGTCCTTAGCCTTTGTGGGGGGTGTTGATTGGTGTTTGGGTGTGGCCACTGAGGGGCGCTGTAAAGCTTTCTCGCACAGGGCGCCTAAAGGCCTAAGGCCGGCCCTGGGTGGTGCACACAATCAGTGAAGGAGGGTGCTGGTGGTGCACACAATCAGAGCAGCAGGAGGTGTCTCCTGTATCACGGCCCTCTGCAGGCTTTACATCTTCCCACCTCTGGCCAGCGTCCTGCTCTGCTCCTGGCAACCAGTGACATCACTGGAAGTAGATGGTGACCCTGGATGATGGCTGAACAAAGATGGTTCCATCCTTCTGGAGTGAAAAGCAGATGAAGGCATTGCCACAGAGAACAGTGTGATCTCTGCGACAGCTAATAAACACCTGGAAGCGTTACACTGACACATTACTTAGCATGCTGCGCTTTAAATGAAAGCTATATATCTGATGACAGGTCCACTTTTATGTGCAGATGGTTGTCACTAGTGATGAGCTCGGGCGTGTTCGCAGCTCCACGCGCCGAGCTCGCCAGGAAGCTGACAGCGCCAATCACAGGTACTGAGATATTATCCCGGTCCGCAGCTGCAGATATCGGGAAATGTCTCAGTGCCTGTGATTGGTGCTGCGGCGCTGTCAGCTTCCAGGCGGGCTCAGCACGTGGACCTGCGAACACGCCCGAGCTCATCACTAGTTGTCACCAATCAAGAGAGACGGAAGGAAGGAGGGTCAGTAGGTGGCTGTGTTCTGATATGTATGTGAATTCTTTTGCAGAGAAAGTTCAGGCTGAGATTGATGACGTTCTTGGCTCGGAGAAATGCCCGTCTCTGGAGCACCGCGTCTCCTTACCGTACACCGATGCCGTGATTCATGAAGCACAGAGATACGCCAGTGTAGTGCCCAACGGTCTGCCCCATGCGGCTCTGCAGAACATCATGTTCAAAGGATACACTATACCAAAGGTAAGTGAATACAACTTCCAGTCTGCACCACCTACCCACCGAACACCACCCTGAGCAGTCATAGTCTCACAGCTGCACCACAGAAGAGTTCCATCAGTCAGCCGGGAGAGTGTAAGCTCCTCTGGTGCAGAGACTGATGTGACTGGCTCAGTGTTCTCTGTACAGCACTGCGGTATATGTCAGAGCTATGTAAAGATATAATAATAAAAGTGTGTGACTGTGTTGGGAACATTAGAGTGTAAGCTCCTCTGGTTCAGAGAGATGTGTGTGGCTCAGTGTTCTCTGTAAAGCACCGCGGACGATGTTGGCTCTATATAAATAAAAATGTAACACGTCCATCTCTGTCCAGGACACTCAGATCATCACGTTCCTGCACTCGGCTCTCTACGACAAGAAATACTGGGACAAGCCTGAAGAGTTCAACCCGGCCCGTTTCCTGGACCAGGGTGGCAAGTTTGTGAAGAATGAGGCTCATATCCCATTCGGAGCAGGTGGGTGGAGGGCAGATCTGAGAAATATCCCCTGTGATACTGTGTAACACATTCCATTGTTTGTTATATTTTCCTAAACCTTGTGGACGCCTTCCCAGAAGAGTTAAAGCTGTTATAGCGGTAAAGGGTGGAGCCAACTTAATACTGAGCCCTACGGACTAAGACTGGGATGCCATTAAATGTGAGTGTAGAGGTCGGCGTCCCAATACATTTTGGCAATATAGTGTATATGTATTTCGGTGTTTGTACAAACTTTACCTATAATACGTTTTATTGTTTTAAAAATATTGTTTCTCATGACAAAATCCTGACCCTGTGCAGGAAGAAGTCCCTTCAATCTAGTTCATAATTCATAATTAAATTCAATTGTATCTTTGAAATCCTGGCGAAGTGTTACAGTAATATTGGATCCCATCTCT